CTCAGTCTCTGACTGATATCTACTTGGTGGCTCAGTCTCGGTGGCTGACTGATATCTGCTTGGTGGCTCAGCCTCTGATTGATATCTGCTTGGTGGCTCAGCCTCTGTCTGATATCTGCTTGGTGGCTCAGCCTCTGACTGATATCTGCTTGGTGACTCAGTCTCTGTCTGATATCTGCTTGGTAGCTCAGTCTCTGTCTGATATCTGCTTGGTGGCTCAGTCTCTGTCTGATATCTGCTTGGTGGCTCAGTCTCTGTCTGATATCTGCTTGGTGGCTCAGTCTCTGATTGATATCTGCTTGGTGGCTCAGCCTCTGTCTGATATCTGCTTGGTGGCTCAGTCTCTGACTGATATCTGCTTGGTGGCTCAGTCTCTGATTGATATCTGCTTGGTGGCTCAGTCTCTGATTGATATCTGCTTGGTGGCTCAGTCTCTGATTGATATCTGCTTGGTGGCTCAGTCTCTGACTGATATCTACTTGGTGGCTCAGTCTCTGACTGATATCTGCTTGGTGGCTCAGTCTCTGACTGATATCTGCTTGGTGGCTCAGTCTCTGTCTGATATCTGCTTGGTGGCTCAGTCTCTGTCTGATATCTGCTTGGTGGCTCAGTCTCTGATTGATATCTGCTTGGTGGCTCAGCCTCTGTCTGATATCTGCTTGGTGGCTCAGTCTCTGACTGATATCTGCTTGGTGGCTCAGTCTCTGATTGATATCTGCTTGGTGGCTCAGTCTCTGATTGATATCTGCTTGGTGGCTCAGTCTCTGATTGATATCTGCTTGGTGGCTCAGTCTCTGACTGATATCTGCTTGGTGGCTCAGCCTCTGCTTCATTAAGTTCCAGTTGTTTTGGTGACTATAGTGTCCCTTTAAGGACACTGGATCAGTTTCACACTTCACAATACAATACAATACAATACATGTTGTAGGTGCATATTTGGGATGATTTTATTAAAGGGACTCTCCAGTGCCAGGAAAACAAACCGTTTTCCTGGCACTGCAGGTCCCCTCTCCCTCCCACCCCCCATGTTGCTGAGGGGGTTAAAACCCCTTCAGTGACTTACCTGTATCCAGCGCCGATGTCCCTCGGCGCTGGTTCAGGGTCCGCCCATGCTCCTCCCCCACCGACTTAATCCGGCGGGGGAGACCTATTGCGCATTAGACCTCCCCATAGGAAAGCATTGAAAGTGCTTTCAATGCTTTCCTATGGGGATTTCAGCGACGCTGGAGGTCCTCACGTAGTGTGAGGATGTCCAGCGACGCTATAGCACAGAAAATCTGTGCTATAAACCCGGAAGTGCCCTCTAGTGGCAGTCTAGTAGACAGCCACTAGAGGAGGAGTTAACCCTGCAAAGTAAATATTGCAGTTTATGAAAACTGCAATATTTACAGTTGCAGGGTTAAGGGTAGTGGTCTGGGTGCCTGGAGTGTCCCTTTAAAGGCACGGCAGTAAGTGTTTATTCTGGTCTGTGGCTGATTATATACTCTTCTATAAGTTGCTGTGACAGTAAGTGCTCGGCCTTGTCTGTCTCCAGTCTGTGTGCAGATTAATAATACTGTCATCCATACACAGCGGACACCATGATTGGTGCTCATTAGACGCATTAACAAGTTATATCACTGTTTGGGAAGGACAGATTAAACCCATTGCAGACCAGCCTGAGCTTCTTACCTCACATCTTCCAGAAATTTATCCAGCTCCATCGAAGAGACCTGTGAGTACCTGACAGACACAGAGAAGGGCAATGAGCGTCGTTAATTACTGCTTTACACTGGCCTTACAATGTCCTCTGTCAGAGCTCTCAGCCCAACTGGACTATGAGACGCTATAAACATATGTTCAATTCATAGGACAGAATCCTTCCATCTAACTGCATACAAAGCCTACCATCCATGGGCAACCATTACTATTGATTTATAATGCAGAATAAGATTCAGATTAAATCTATTAAACCCCAGTGTGAATACTATTCTAAGTAATAATACGGTATTATATCCTGGTGTGAATACTATTCTATGTAATAATACGGTATTATACCCCGGTGCGAATACTATTCTCAGTAATAATACGGTATTATATCCTGGTGTGAATACTATTCTAAGTAATAATACGGTATTATACCCTGGTGCAAATACTATTCTAAGTAATAATACGGTATTATACCCTGGTGTTCTAAGTAATGATACGGTATTAAACCCCGGTGTGAATACTATTCTAAGTAATGATACACTATTATACCCTGGTGTGAATATTATTCCACGTAATAATATGGTATTATACCCAGGTGTGAATATTATTCTACGTAATAATACGGTATTATACCCCGGTGTAAATACTATTCTATGTAATAATACGGTATCATACGTTGGTGTGAATAATATTCTACGTAATAATAAGGCATTATTCCCCGGTGTAAATAATATTCTATGTAATGATGCCGTATTGTACCCTGGGGTGAATAATATTCTATGTAATGATGCGGTATTTGTAGCGGATTGCACTGGGCTGTCCTGGAAATTTCATGTGTTTTAAAGCCTTCGGTTAAAATTGCAATGTTATATGTAGAAATGTATGTTGTGTTCGTCTGATTGTTCGGTAGAATCATTCTAGCAATTATGGGAATGAAACTACCGAACAGTCAGACATCCCCAGTGTGAAATGTAATTGACAAGCTGTGCAGTGGGTCCTTTGTTCTCGGGGTAGCCGCCATTCGGGAAACAAACACGTGGCGGCGGCAATTTTAAAACTCCCGAACAGTGGTGTTTTGCCGTCGAGTGTCTGGAACCCAAATCGGACACTCGGATAGACGAACACCGCTGAGACCTCCATACTAACGGTATGTTCGCTTCCAAACAACCGAACGAGGGGATTCATGCGAACCCTCCCTGATCTCTGTAGCATCAGCCTTTCATGCAGTTTGTTCCCTTATACTGTGACCAACCGCAGGGCCCCATCTCCTGGAACCAAATTCGGCTGTTCTCTCCAGCGCGGTCGGTCTTTTCATTACCTCCACAGATTTCCCAAACCCCTGGTCCAATCTGGGTGATTTTTGGATATGTCTCTCACCCAGATCAGGGCTACCAGGGGATGTGACATTTAAAGGGGTACCCCTAGGTTTAGGGGTACATCCAGAAACTTGGGGAATTTGTGAACTGTATAAGGGGAGTATGAGTCAGGCTAAGGGGAGGAGATGTGTGGGAGGTTACTCGAGTACGATTGGGCACTGTAGTAATTATTGTAAATCCCTCCCTTGCATGGGAGCATTCTTTATAAGGCTACTGTGTGAATAAAAGTTTAGTTCTGCCCCTGATACTGTGTGTTGTCCAGTAATTGGGATTGCTATTGGGATATTGCTATGTTGTTTTACCTGCTGGAAACCTTGCCTTATGGATTTATAAATATTTGTTCCTGAGCCTCACTGGGATCTTAAGCGGAGATAACTTGTGGAATACTAGATTTCCGCTACAGTATTATACCCCGGTGTGAATACTATTCTAAGTAATAATATGGTATTATACCCCGGTGTGAATTCTATACTAAGTAATGATACAGTATTACACCCTGGTGTGAATATTATTCCAAGTAATAATACGGTATTATACCCAAGTGTGAATATTATTCTACGTAATAATACGGTATTATACCCCGGTGTAAATACTATCCTAAGTAATAATACGGTATTATATCCTGGTGTGAATACTATTCTATGTAATAATATGGTATTATACCCCAGTGTAAATACTATTCTAAGTAATGATAAGGTATTATACCACGGTGTAAATACTATAGTAAGTTATGATACAGTATTATACCCTGGTGTGAATATTATTCCACGTAATAATACGGTATTATACCCAGGTGTGAATATTATTATACGTAATAATACGGCATTATACACCGGTGTAAATAATATTCTATGTAATGATACGGTATTATACCCCGGGGTGAATAATACTCTATGTAATGATGCCGTATTGTACCCCGGGTAGAATAATATTCTATGTAATGATAATGTATTATACCCTGGAGTGAATAATACTCTATGTAATGATAATGTATTATACCCTGGAATGAATAATTTTCCATGTAATGATACGCTATTATACCTCGGGTGAATATGCCATGTAATGATAGGGTATTATACCCTGGTGTGAATAATATTCTATATAATGATACGGTATTATAACCCGGCGTGAAATAACCTCTGTAAACTAAGACCTGAAAGCAGAAATGGTATATCTAACCTCCACAATATGACAGCCTGTCCTTTTTGTGGTATGGAAGCCATCAAGCCATGTGGGTCTATCTGTTTTGTCTTTTCTTCCAGAAGTGTGTCCTGTGCGATGTCTGAGAAGAAGGAACGGGTGATATGGTTAGATAAAAGACCGGCATCTTGCGACTCTCTACCAACGAAATTCATGGGCATTGTAAGTGACATATATTAGTCATAAGAGGAGCCAGGGAGAAAGTCACTCATTTCCATTATTTAGGAGAAGAAGTGGGTTTTGGCTCACAAAATTATATACACTCACCTCCTGCTACTCATGGGGTATGGGCTCTCAACGGAACTTCCTATTTCGTTGTGTTGAGAAGGTGTGTATTGTATGCTGGTTACTCACACGGTGTGTTGAGAAGGTGTGTATTGTATGCTGGTTACTCACACGGTGTGTTGAGAAGGTGTGTATTGTATGCTGGTTACTCACACGGTGTGTTGAGAAGGTGTGTATTGCATGCTGGTTACTCACACGGTGTGTTGAGAAGGTGTGTATTGTATGCTGGTTACTCACACGGTGTGTTGAGAAGGTGTGTATTGTATGCTGGTTACTCACACGGTGTGTTGAGAAGGTGTGTATTGCATGCTGGTTACTCACACGGTGTGTTGAGAAGGTGTGTATTGTATGCTGGTTACTCACACGGTGTGTTGAGAAGGTGTGTATTGCATGCTGGTTACTCACACGGTGTGTTGAGAAGGTGTGTATTGTATGCTGGTTACTCACACGGTGTGTTGAGAAGGTGTGTATTGTATGCTGGTTACTCACACGGTGTGTTGAGAAGGTGTGTATTGTATGCTGGTTACTCACACGGTGTGTTGAGAAGGTGTGTATTGTATGCTGGTTACTCACACGGTGTGTTGAGAAGGTGTGTATTGCATGCTGGTTACTCACACGGTGTGTTGAGAAGGTGTGTATTGCATGCTGGTTACTCACACGGTGTGTTGAGAAGGTGTGTATTGTATGCTGGTTACTCACACGGTGTGTTGAGAAGGTGTGTATTGCATGCTGGTTACTCACACGGTGTGTTGAGAAGGTGTGTATTGTATGCTGGTTACTCACACGGTGTGTTGAGAAAGGTGTGTATTGTATGCTGGTTACTCACACGGTGTGTTGAGAAAGGTGTGTGCTGCCAGTAGCTTCAGGGAATGAACTTCGAATAGGACTCTGTGAAATAGCAGATTGTGTGCTGAAGGTCTTTGTCCAGGAAATTGAGAGAGACATTTCTGGACAAATTCCTACAAGAAAAAGTCATATGATAAATACCCAAGCAGCATTCAAGCAGACAAAATGAAATGTAACAGCAGACCAGGAGCTGCAGAGAGGACACAAGACATCCACTATCCCTACATATTACATTTTCTGCAAAGACATCAAAACACAACTTGCTTATTGTAATAGTAAATTCCTCATATATATATATATATATATATACACACACACACACACACACACACACACACACACACACACACACACACACACACACACACACAAACCCAACCCTCCCAATCCCACCCCTACCCAACAGTACTATAGTGGATTTAACTAACTACCATGAATCTAGAACGCTGGCATTGGAACAACACATAATTAAGTTTTTCTACATGGCGTATGCTGGTGTGTCTGTGTTTACTGTTGGTACTGGGTTTATCATGCTACGATTAGAAATGGCTGTCAGTCTGTCTATAGGTTTGTATAATGTATAAATAGGGAAATCCCTGATTCTCTGTGTTACGTTCATAGTTTGACATTGAGTGTATGATGGAGTCACTGTTATTATTATGTTGGTATTGGGTGTATGATGGAGTCACTGGGATTATTATATTGGCACTGGGTGTATGATGGAGTCACTGTGTTTATTATATTGGAATTGGGTGTGTGATGGAATCACTGGGATTATTATATTGGTATTGGGTGTATAATGGAGTCACTGTGTTTATTATATTGGTATTGGGAGTATGATGGAGTCACTGGGTTTATTATATTGGCACTGGGTGTAAGATGGAGTCACTGGGTTTATTATATTGGTATTGGGTGTATGATGGAATCACTGGGATTATTATATTGGTATTGGATGTATGATGGAGTCACTGGGTTTATTATATTGGTATTGGGTGTGTGATGGAGTCACTGGGTTTATTATATTGGTATTGGGTGTATGATGGAGTCACTGGGTTTATTATATTGGCACTGGGTTTATGATGGAGTCACTGGGGTTATTATATTGGTATTGGGTGTATGATGCGAGTCAATGGGTTTATTATATTGGTATTGGGTGTATGATGCGAGTCAATGGGTTTATTATATTGGCACTGGGTGTAAGATGGAGTCACTGGGTTTATTATATTGGTATTGGGTGTATGATGGAATCACTGGGATTATTATATTGGTATTGGATGTATGATGGAGTCACTGGGTTTATTATATTGGTATTGGGTGTATGATGGAGTCACTGGGTTTATTATATTGGCACTGGGTGTATGATGGAGTCACTGGGTTTATTATATTGGTATTGGGAGTATGATGGAGTCACTGTGTTTATTATATTGGTATTGGGAGTATGATGGAGTCACTGTGTTTATTATATTGGCACTGGGTGTAAGATGGAGTCACTGGGTTTATTATATTGGTATTGGGTGTATGATGGAATCACTGGGTTTATTATATTGGTATTGGATGTATGATGGAGTCACTGGGTTTATTATATTGGTATTGGGTGTATGATGGAGTCACTGGGTTTATTATATTGGTATTGGGTGTATGATGGAATCACTGGGATTATTATATTGGTATTGGATGTATGATGGAGTCACTGGGTTTATTATATTGGTATTGGGTGTATGATGGAGTCACTGGGTTTATTATATTGGTATTGGGTGTATGATGGAGTCACTGGGTTTATTATATTGGTATTGGGTGTATGATGGAGTCACTGGGTTTATTATATTGGTATTGGGTGTATGATGGAGTCACTGTGTTTATTATATTGGTATTGGGTGTATGATGGAATCACTGTGTTTATTATATTGGTATTGGGTGTATGATGAAGTCACTGTGTTTATTATATTGGTATTGGGTGTATGATGGAGTCACTAGAATTATTATATTGGTATTGGGTGTATGATGATCCACTGGGTTTATTATATTGATATTGGGTGTATGATGGAGTCACTAGGATTATTATATTGGTATTGGGTGTGTGATGGAATCACTGGGATTATTATATAGTATGATTAGGCTGGCACTGAGTTTGATGGAGAGCTGAAGATTAGGCTGGCACGGAGTATGATGGGGAGCTAGAGCTTAGGCTGGCACTGAGTATGATGGGGAAATGGAGATTAGGCTGGCACTGAGTATGATGGAGTGCTGGAGATTAGGCTGGCAGTGAGTATGATGGAGAGTTGGAGATTAGGCTGGCACTGAGTATGATGGCGAACTGGAGATTAGACTGGCACTGAGTATGATGGAGAGCTGAAGATTAGACTGGCACTGAGTATGATGGAGAGCTGAAGATTAGACTGGCACTGAGTATGATGGAGAAGTGGAGATTAGGCTGGCAGTCAGTATGATGGAGAGTTGGAGATTAGGTCGGCACTGAGTATGATGGCGAACTGGAGATTAGGCTGGCACTGAGTATGTTGGAGAGTTGGAGATTAGGCTGGCACAAGTATGATGGAGAATTAGGTTGGAGATTAGGCTGGCACAAGTATGATGGAGAATTAGGTTGGAGATTAGGTTGGCACGGAGTATGATGGCGAACTGGAGATTAGACTGGCACTGAGTATGATGAAGAGTTTAAGATAAGGCTGGCACTGAGTATGATGAAGAGCTGAAGATTAGACTGGCACTGAGTATGATGGAGAGCTCAAGATTAGGCTGGCAGTGAGTATGATGGAGAGTTGGAGATTAGACTGGCACTGAGTATGATAGAGAGTTGGCACTGAGTATGATGGAGTGCTGGAGATTAGACTGGCACTGAGTATGATAAAAAAACTTGAGATTAGGCTGGCACTGAGTATGTTGGAGAGTTGGAGATTATGCTGGCACAAGTATGATGGAGAATTGGCACTGAGTATGATGGAGAGGTGGAGATTAGGCTGACACTGAGTGTGATGGAGAGTTGGAGATTAGGCTGGCACGGATTGGAGATTAGGCTGGCGCTGAGTAAAATGGAGAGCTAGAGATTAGTCTGGCACGGAGTATGATGGAGAGTTGGAGATTAGACTGGCACGGAGTATGATGGAGAGTTGGAGATTAGGCTGGCACAGGGTATGATGGAGCGTTGACACCAAGTATGCTGGAGAGTTGGAGATTAGATTGGCACTGAGTATGATGGAGTGCTGGGCATTAGACTGGCACTGAGTGTGATGGAGAGTTGGAGATTAGGCTGGCACTGAGTATGACGGAGGGTTTGCATTATGTTGGTGCTTTATGATTAAACAAATTATTTAAGTGATAAGACTTAAATTTCTACCTTCATATTTGGGTCTTCCAATGATTGCACAGACCGGGAAATGCTCTCTTCAGACACCTTCTCTCCATTGCTTTGTATTTCCAAAATCGCCATCTATTCAATACAAAAAGTTACAACCCAGTACATCCTGATCCCCACTGCTCAAACCCACCACAACACAGCCATCTATACAATACATTGACAGTTACTGCCCAGTACATCCCGAAACCCACTACCCAAACCCACCACAACACAGCCATCTATACAATACATTGACAGTTACTGCCCAGTACATCCCGAAACCCACTGCCCAAACCCACCACAACACAGCCATCTATACAATACATTGACAGTTACTACCCAGTACATCCCGATACCCACTGCTCAAACCCACCACAACACAGCCATCTATACAATACATTGACAGTTACTACCCAGTACATCCCGATACCCACTGCTCAAACCCACCACAACACAGCCATCTATACAATACATTGACAGTTACTACCCAGTACATCCCGATACCCACTGCTCAAACCCACCACAACACAGCCATCTATACAATACATTGACAGTTACTACCCAGTACATCCCGATACCCACTGCACAAACCCACCACAACTCAGCCATCTATACAATACATTGACAGTTACTGCCCAGTACATCCCGATACCCACTGCCCAAACCCACCACAACACAGCCATCTATACAATACATTGACAGTTACTGCCCAGTACATCCCGATACCCACTGCCCATACCCACCACAACAGTCATTTATATAATACATTGACAGTTACTGCCCAGTACATCCCGATACCAACTGCCCAAACCCACCACAACAGTCATTTATATAATACATTGACAGTTACTGTAACAGATTCCCCTGTTTTGCGTTGGATCTGTAATATATGTTGTACCAGCCTCCTACCATGTTGCCTGGGAACCTCTACCTTTTGTTTTCCTGCCATCATCCACATTGCCCTGCACCTAAGGACAAAGACTGTTTCTGGCCCTTTAACTGTGTTGTGCAAAGAATGGGTACATTTGATATGGCACTTCGGATTCAGCCGAAGTGGCCGCAATTAGACAATTGAACACGTGGCGGCGGCCATTTTAATGCAGTCGAACGCGGTCAGAGGTGTGTGCCGTAAAATCCCTGGAACGGAAATCAGCTACACATTTGAACGAACACTGCTGACCTGTACCTTCCCCTACCCTTCAACACTGCGGCTGGAAGATTCGAACACACGCTCGAATGGGGCTTTGTCATCTTTTTCATGTTTAATAGACTGCCACTCAACTAACGACCACCGCGGAAGGTTAATCCCGTTTTACTTCGACAGAAGTCGAAGTGCGTTTGACTATTCGAACGCTGCCTTCGGATGGGACTTTATTATTTTTCAAGGCAGAAATAGACCGACTGCACAGCCTGAATCTGTGGAACTGTTTTGGGCATGCAAACAGGCGTGCAGTCGGTCCAAAGAGACTTTTCCATATCTCTGGAACCCCTGAACGTATTTGTACGAATTTTGAATATGTTTGTCCCCAAGTTTTATTCCTGTGTGATGAAAAATCATAAAGTTATAAAAATGCATAAAAAAAGTATATGTTTTAGCTTGGAGATAATTGAGTAGATACAGTAAGAAACTCAATTATCTCCAAAGCAGAGGGGAGGGAATCTGTGGGATGTAACCGTTGTCTGATTGGTTAATGTCTAATTGTCTGTGGGCGTCTCCCTTGTGGGGGAGCACTGCATAAAAGAAGAGTGTGAGTCATTAAACCTCAGTTCTACTTCACCCTCTGTGGCGAAACCGGCCTCGCCACATGTCCTTGGAGGGGGCTGCTTGCCCGCCTCTTGCCTTTGGACTATGGACCAGACTTTATGTGAATGTGTTAACCCAGATAGCTATGCCATAGAGCCCATTCGTGTAGTTAAAGACTTCGGCTCCATGGCAATTGAACTGTGTGAATAGGATCTGAGCGCTATTCGGTAGTTTTGTGCGCTCAGATCCCAGCTATCTGGGGATATGTGAAATGTCTGTGTGTTATGTGTAAAAAGTGACTTTATGTATTTTAAAGTGTTTTATGTCTTTTTGCAACCATGTGCTTAATGGAGTCTTGTGTCTGTCCTGGGAGATAATTGAATTACTCTCCAGGATAGAAGACTCTGAAACTGGTTTGGGCCAGAAAGCCATGCTTCATTTAGTCACAAAGGACTTTCCTTAACTTTTGAACCCCTGGTCTGATTCGTGCCATTTTTTAATATGTTGTTCCCCTGAATGGATTGATTATGAAAATGTATGTTTTATGTTTGTGACATGTATATTTTGGAAGTTATAAATATTGTGTAAAAACTGTATTCCTCTGCCGGTGATAATGAGATTACCCATTGTGTTCAGTAATCATATCACCTGCAGAGGGGAGGATTTTGTGTGGGGGTGTCTGGGTGTATTGTACGGATTGATTGGTTGTTTTGTAACGCCCTGTGGGCTGTACTATGTTTGTGGATTGGGAATAAAGGAGACTGTATGTGACAGTACAGGGAGTTCCTGTTTTAACCCTCAAAGTGAAGTGTCGTCTCATTATTGGGGGAAGGATTTATTGTATGCTGTTCCAGTTTGACTGCTAGGGGAGTAAACCTATTCGTATGGTTCCTATTCAACTGTCTACCTTTGTTCACTTATGCTTGAGGAAGGATTCAAATGCTTCTCTCGGTTCCGATTGGTTGTGGTGTCTGCTGCGGTGCTTGGAGTCCTCAGGGCTAGGGCATCCTTCTTGAAAGGTACCCAGTCCCGGGGGTGCCAAGTAGATCCGTTACATTGGTGGCAGAGGGGTGGGATGGCGTCCTAGAGAGTAAAAACGCTCAGAGACACGTTAGGTAGTTTACAAATTAGAACTAGCGCTAGCACCCGTGCAAGCGCCCCTGGAGCAGGGTAATCAGCGACTTGGAGCAGACATAGTATAAGGAGAATATGGCGATGATTGGATGATGTGAGGTGAAGGGCAGCGGTGGCCAGTATGGGGATGATTTACCCATGGAGGTACGCCGGGTGATCTGGAACCAGGTCACGGCCGAGCGAAACACAAGGCTGGCCCGAGAATTCCGGCTGGCGAAAGAGAGAGAGTATGCTCAGCGGAAGGAGTGTTACAGCAGCCGAGTAGAGGCTGCATCCGAGGAGGCTAGCCGTCTCCCCTGAGGCGGCCGCAGGAACCTGAAGTAGGGGTCCCCATAGACTGGTCCTGTGAGGAACCACAACAGGCAGGTGGAGATGGGACTGGCCCAGATCCCCAGCAGCCGGAGTTGCCAGGTGGTCCTTACTCGCAAATGTTGAGGGACCTCACAGACTGGTCCTGGGAAGACCCACAGATGGCAGGTGGAGATGGGACGGCGGTCTCTCTACCGGCCCTACAGGGATGCTGGGCGGTCAGCCCAGATCTCCAGCGGCAGTGTGTATCCCAGGGAGCTGAAGGTGCAGTCCTTCCTCCCCAGCGGCAGTGTGTACCCCAGGGAGCTGAAGGTGCAGTCCTTCCTCCCCAGCGGCAGTGTGTACCCCAGGGAGCGGAAGGTGCAGTCCTTCCTCCCCAGCGGCAGTGTGTCCTGCAGGAAGCCGGAGACAGTCTGTCTTTTCTCCCCAGCAGCAGGACAAGGAAATATTGAGAAAGGAGACAGTTGAGATTCACACTACTCCCACCAGCAAAGAGAGTGTCAGGGAGAGGAGCAGGTTTTTCCCCTCTACAGCGGCAGTCTACAATTCAGAGAGAGGGCTTGTACACCCTCTCTCCAGCGGCAGCTAACCCACTGGGGAGATGTTAAGCCCCACAGCATGCAGATGGGACCGTAGTCTCTGCACTTGCAGCACCAGGGGTAGGGACAGTGGTCCTGTCCCAGCCACAGAGCAGTGCTCAGGGGAGACAGTGGGTCTCCCCTCCCACAACAGGCTCCAACCAGGCTACTTCAGTGGTGGCTGGCACCGGGGCAGAGCCTGGTCTCTGCCCCACTCAGCAGCAACCCTGAGGCAGTCTACCAGCCCCCCGCACAGCCGTGAGTGAGGCACCTGAACATGGACAGAGATTGCTGTTTTATCAGGTGCTGTAGTAACCAGTTATTGTGGGTGGGCTGTATTGCTGTTTGTGCTTCGTGGGTGGGTTGCTGGACTAACCAGGGCACTGACCGGCAGGAGGTCAGATACCCTGTTAGTCTGGATGGTAAAAGGGAGAAATGTGGCGAAACCGGCCTCGCCACGTGTCCTTGGAGGGGGCTGCTTGCCCGCCTCTTGCCTTTGGACTATGGACCAGACTTTATGTGAATGTGTTAACCCAGATAGCTATGCCATGGAGCCCATTCGTGTAGTTAAAGACTTCGGCTCCATGGCAATTGAACTGTGTGAATAGGATCTGAGCGCTATTTGGTAGTTTTGTGCGCTCAGATCCCAGCTATCTAGGGGATATGTAGTGAAAATGTCTGTGGCTATGTGTAAATGTGACTTTGCTTGACTTTCAAGTGTTTTGTGTCTTTTTGCAACCATGTGTGCTTAATGGAGTCTTGTGTCTATCCTGGGGAGATAATTGAATTACTTATCTCCAGGATAGAAGACTCTGAAACTGGTTTGGGCCAGAAAGCCATGCTTCATTTAGTCACAAAGGACTTTTTACTAACTTTGAACCCCTTGTCTGATTTGTGCCATTTTTGAATATGTTGTTCCCCTGAATGGATTGATTGTGAATATGTAATTTTATGTGAATGTGATGTATGGTTTTAGAGTTATGAAAGTTGGGTAGAAAGTATGTTTTAACTGTATGTATAATTGAGTTTCCTCTCAGGATAAGGGGAGGGAATATGTGGGATGTAACTGTGATGTGATTGGTTGTTTTGTACGCCCTGTGGGCTGTACTATGTTTGTGGATTGGGAATAAAAGAGACTGTATGTGACAGTACAGGGAGTTCCTGTTTTAACCCTCAAAGTGAAGTGTCGTCTCATTATTGGGGGAAGGATTTATTGTATGCTGTTCCAGTTTGACTGCTAGGAGAGTAAACCTATTCGTATGGTTCCTATTCAACTGTCTGCAGCATTCAAATGCTTGGGAGAATTTATTTGTTTCTCCGGTTCGGTGGTTGTGGTGTCTGCTGCAGTGCTTGGAATCCTCAGGAAGTGCTAGGAGCATCCTTCAACGGAGGTACCCAGTCGGGGTGCCAGGCGATCCGTTACAGCGCTTCACAAGTTCTAAGCCACAGAAGCGTATATCTTTTGATAACCCACCATGTTGTTCCTTTAGATGTCTTGAAATGGGGGTATCAAGTCAGTTTTTAGGTGATCTGACGTGTTCTTTGATGCGTTCTTTAAATGGACGAAAGGTTTTACCCACATACATCAACTTGCAACTACAGGTAAGCAGGTATATAACCCCTGCTGAGTTGCAATTAAAGAAGTGGGCAATCTGAAAGGATTGTTTACCTTCACTATCCATCACCTCCTTCGAATCTCTAAGAATAAATTTGCAAGCCACACACCTCCCACAGCCAAAGGAACCTTTTTTCTACCGAGCCACGTACTGTTAGAAGGTTGTTTAGAAGTGAAGTGGCTAGGTACAAGAATATCACGGAGGTTTCTACCTCTTCGGGCTGTCATGGAGACTTGTGGGCCCAAAATCCCCTTACGGTGAATATCCTTAAGTAGAATCGGACAAAACTTTTGCATTGAGTTTTTAACAGTATCCCAACCAGTGTCGAATGTACCAATCATTCTAATAGTTTTATCCGAAGTCTTCATCGATGTTGGGGAATCGGACAAAAGGGCCACCCTGTCAGTTTTCAAAGCTCTATTATATGCCCTCTTCAAACATCTATTAGGGTACCCCTCCTCTTTGAACTGCTGTCTCAAGATTTTGGCTTTAATCTGGAAGTCCTCAAGACAGTTTATTTATTTATTACTGGCATTTATAAAAGCGCCAGCATATTCAGCAGCGCTGTACTATTTGGAAAAAGACAAACGCAATAAGAACAGACCGATACAACAGGTAGAGGACCCTGCCCGTAAGCTTCCAATCTAACTTTATCCACTTCTTGTATAAAACCAAAGGTCATAGGACGGCAGCAAGTTGAAAGAAACACTTTTTTATTTCCAATAAATCTTCACAGTATTAAAAATAGTCCCCCAAGTGGTATCACTTTTGCTCACTCAGTCTCTCTTTGGAAGGCGTACTGCATACAGTTTCGCTGCCGGCTAGCACCGTACCGCAAACACTTCCTGGAGGCGGAGCCTAATGACGTAACCACAGGACGTGCGTGATGACGCGTTTCGCCACAAATTCGGCTTCCTCAGATCACACTTCCATCCTGCTGCTGCCTTGCTTTTAAATCCGTTCTTCATAGGTGTATGTCCACCTATTAAGTCCTCATTATTGTTTACCAGTGTAACCCCTTAATACATTAACAAAAATCTTCATTCAATTATTCATTCCCAGGGTCATATGTCCTAAACCAAATTTCTTCTTGCATATGAAAAAAAACTAATTTATTATAAAACACCTATGAAGAACGGATTTAAAAGCAAGGCAGCAGCAGGATGGAAGTGTGATCTGAGGAAGCCGAATTTGTGGCGAAACGCGTCATCACGCACGTCCCGTGGTTACGTCATTAGGCTCCGCCTCCAGGAAGTGTTTGCGGTACGGTGCTAGCCGGCAGCGAAACTGTATGCAGTACGCCTTCCCAAGAGAGACTGAGTGAGCAAAAGTGATACCACTTGGGGGACTATTTTTAATACTGTGAAGATTTATTGGAAATAAAAAAGTGTTTCTTTCAACTTGCTGCCGTCCTATGACCTTTGGTTTTATACAAGAAGCGGATAAAGTTAGAGCAGACTTCTCTGCTCTCCACTTGTGAGTTTAACACTATACATTGTTCTAACAACACAATTTGTAATACTGTATTACACTATGTTCTCTTATTTATTTTTTATACATATGTATGTATAACTGGAGTAACCAGACTTAAGGTACATATAGCGGGGTATTGTAAGTGCTCCGTTTTTTCTACCAATTTTTCACTAATACACTGATATATAAGTGGCATTTGAATACTACCAATTTTCACTAATACACTGATATAAAAGTGATATTTGCACATTTGCATTTTTTTGCACTATTGTAGAGTGTGTAATAGCAACACATTTATTAAATAGAGTTTGTGTGTTTTTAAAGCACTGGAATGTTTTTTAAAGGAACATTGCACTATTTTTTGTCTTAAAGACACAGCGCACCCTTTTTTGTATTATTGTATTTTTAGTGTTTTATGGGCTATTGCACTTTATAAGGGAGCTGATTTATAGGTTTTACGTTTTTTATTATTTTAGACGTGTATTGAGCGCCTTTTTTACTTGTCTCCTTTCTTGTTGTACACATTTCTGATAGCTCTAATCAAGTAAGGCTGCTAAACAATCATGTCATTGTTTGAATATCGAAATAATATGCAATGTAGGTTTGATGAAGCTGAAATTTTACAATATGAAAATACCATTGATCCTACAAAAGATGACATAGAAGTTACATTTAAAGATTTAGAAAAAATTCTAGCAAAAGAAATAAAATATAAATGGGAAATTGCCACCTTAAATAGATATTTAAAAGATAACATCACCCCTAGAGGTCTAAGGTTCTCTAAAACACCTACATTTGAGAATGAAAAGAATAAAAAATATGTGGACATTTGGAATGATGCATTAGAAAGATTCTCTAGGGAGATGATGAGTATAGTTATTGCCTGTAGAACTGAAGGCTTGGAAGATTTAGATAAGGAGGTAAAAGAAATCCAAAAATTATTAGAACCAACATTGGGTACTAGAGATTATAATGAACTAAGTAAGAAAACTAAGGACAATTTGAATAAATTGGAGATACAAGTGAAAGAGATCAAACATAAAAAATAGAAAAGAGATATGCAAGATTATAAGAATAATAGAGTTAGAACTTACACGAATTCATATAGAGAGAAAAAAGAGTACAATTATAAATATAAACCAGACTCCCCAAATTATCCTTACAGGAAAAGAGAAAACACTGTCAAATACTCAGAACGGACTCAGTGGAAAACACCAGAGAATAGGAAACAATACAATTGGACAAAAGTAGAACCGAAAAATAAATATCAATTGAATAGAAATAGACAGGGTAGGAGTCCGCCCTATGTACAGCAAAGAAAGGATATCGAACTAAGGAACCGTTTTGAGATCCTTTCAGATGATAATGTACAATCAGAACAAAAAGATTTTTTAGGGGAGAGGAAAGGAAGGGTAACCTTCTCACCTCAAAAAAGAAGGAGATACAGATAGAGGATGTAGAGGAGGACGAGAGTAACAGTATAGGAAAAAGAGGAAGGACATCAAATTGGAGGGAGTAATAAATCTCTCTAAGTATAACCCTACTAAAGATGAAATTAGGATTTTAAATAAGGGTCTTAAATTTGCCCCCAATGTAGGTTTTAATTCTTTTTCAGCGTATGTGGATATGCTAAAATATTCTAGGAACTTGACATTAAAAAGGTTTTTTTCTATAAATAAA